CAAGTGCATTGAAGACAAGTTGTTGACTGGGTCACGGGTTCAATAATCCTTCATCTATTTAGTCTTTATTTTTTCTCTTTAAAAGTAAATTGGTTCTCTTCTTCTATTTCACTAGTTCCCTTCCTCTATTTTTACTTGTTCTCTTCTTCGGCACCTTAAACTATCTTCATCTACTACTCTCTATCTCTCAAATCTCTTCTACAAATTCCTCGAAAATGTTCAAAAGATCCAAATCAGGTAAAAAGAAAAGTAAGGGGGAGTCCTCTTCACAAGCTGCTTCAGCAAATCCTAGAGGACATCTGGAAGCTTGGTTCAATGGTGACTTGGACAGGATGAACTCATCTCCGAGTTCAGTAAAAAAAAACTGGTAATTCTGAAATTTATTCAATTTACTTGTATTGACAAAGAAGGATTTACCTCTTTAAGGAGGCAACTTAAGAACTAGAGACTGAAAACCTTTGTGAAATATCTGGGAAATATTCAACCAGATTTTTTCAGAGTCTTTTACTCCAATATAACTGTTAATGGCTCAACCATTCAGACTCAAGTAAAGGGAGTAAATATAGTAATTGCTCCATCAGTATGGGAACAGGTGGTTAGTCTTAGAGATGAAGACGTGAAGGTTTCCAAAGGAAAGGTCTCGGAGCTGCCAGAATTCAACAAAATTCAATTCTTTTAATCATATCTCAGAAACAGTGATGACTCAGTAAGAGTGCTGAATGCTGGAAAAATGCGTCTGGAACCGAGGCTGCTTGCATTTATTATTGCTTGGGTGTTAACACCCAGGGGGAGCAACCATGCTCTCCTAAATGAAGGAGATTTGGCCTTGATGTAATGCATTCAAAATAACATTAGAATCAATTGGGTTTATGTGATCAAAGATCACATGATTAAAGCTAAAAGACTGAGTGATTTTCGTCTCCCTTATGCCATGCTCATTAACAAATTTTGTAAGCATTTTGTAGCTGATTTAACAATTGAATATTTGGAAGCACCCAAATTTTCTAATGAGATTGATGATTCTACTCTACGTAAGATAGACTTCATTAAAGTTGATGGAAACTGGATCTCCAAATTTAAAGCTGGGATGAGTGATCAAGATGATGAAGAAGAGGATGCGCCACAAGAGAATGTTAGTATTGGTTCATCTCATGCTGTAGAACAACTAGGGGGAGTTGAAGTTGAGCACATGGCTGAAGAATTTCAGAACATGGAGTTGACTCCCTACTATGAACAACCAGATCGGAGGACTACTCTATCATAGTTTAAAAGGGCAATGTTGTCTCAAATGTCTTCCTTACAACAAAACTAGAGGAAGCACATTCAAATGACTTTTCAACACTATCATGAAACCAATAATCAATTTTGTCAATCTCAACAATCAAATAACAAACATCTATAGCAGATTGGATGATCTGTAGTTCAACCAAGGTCCATGGGATGACTGAGATTTTGTTACTGCACACTAGGGGTCTTTCTAATCACTGCGCTTCTTACTTAATTTCTTGTTTAATTTTTTTTGTGTGTTTGTAAACTTAACTGACTTCTGACCAAGAATTCTGAACTTTTAATGATTGCATGATATTTTTTTTGCTTGACTGATGTTTGTTCTCTTCTATTTTGATGAAGTCAAAAGGGGGAGAAAGAATTGAAAAAGATTAGGATAATTCACTTATACTAACTACATCTAATACATACATCAAAGTGGTTTTGTAGGATTCAAAGTTTTCTTTGTCTTCATCAAATAGGGGGAGACTGATGAAGAAGTTATTAGGAAGAATATTGAAAGTCTTGATTAGAAGATTTGATGAAGTCTTGACTAGAAGGTTGCAAGGGAGTTTGGTTGTAAGTGATTCTTTAAGACTAAACATGATTCTCATGGTCAAAATTGTTACTTAGGGTTTTACTTAGAAACATGACATTGATCCTAAAGAGACTTTTTCACCAGTCTCATGAAAAGATTTTTTTCAAAATTATCAGGGCACTTGTAGCCCACTATGACTTAGAGCTACCTCAGATGAATGTAAAAATTGTATTTCTTAATGGAGATTTAGAGGATAATGTTTATGTGGATCAATCAATAGGGTTCTCAGTTGAAGGAAAGGAACACATGTGTGTAAAAATAAAGAAATTAATATGCAAACTTAAGCAAGCTTCCCGCCAATGGTATTTGAAGTTTAATAGATACCATTGTTTTCTTTATATTTAAAGAAATTATCATTGGTCGATGTACATATCTAAAGGTTAGTTGGAATAAGGTTATATTTTTTATTTTTTTTGTTGATGATATCTTACTTGCAACTAATGATCTTAGTCTTCTTCGTGAAACTACGAAGTTTTTCTCTAATACCTTTGAAATGAAAGATATGGGTGAAACAAGTTATGTGATACGAATAGAAATATTCTTAAATAGATAAAAAAGAAATGTTATGCCTATTCTAGAAAGCATATATCAATAAAGTATTAGAGAAATTCAAAATGGAAAAGTGTTCAACATCGTTCGTTGCAATTAAAAAAGGAGACAAGTTTAGTCTTACTCAATGTCCTAAAAATGTTTTTGAACGAAAACAAATGGAAGCAATTTCGTATGCATATGTTGTTGAGAGTATTATATATGCCTAAACTTGTACTCAACCAAACATAAGCTTTGTAGCTGGTATGTTATGAAGATATCAAAATAATATGGGAATGAAAGAAATTTTTAAGATACTTACATGGAACAAAGGATCAAATGCTTACATATAAAGGTATAATAATTTTGAGATGATTAGATGTTCAGACTCCAACTTTATTGATTGTGTGGATACAAGAAAATTCACTATTTGTTATGTATTTCTTTTAGCTAGATGAATAATATTATGGAAAAATACATAACAATTTGTTGTTGTATCTACAATAGAAGTTTTCTGATTTTGTAGCATATTTTGAGGCTACAACTTAGGCTAATTGGTTGTGAAACTTTATATCAAGACTTAAAATTGTAAAAACGTTGAAATGTATTATGATAACTCCACAATAATGTTTTTTTCTTTAAAAATAACAAATACTTTAAATGTGCTAAACATATGAACTAGAAGTATTTTGTCATAAAGAAGGGAGTTTAAAAATAAAGAGTTTCAATAAAATATATTAACACAAATCTTATGCTAGTTAACCCTTAACAAAGAGATTATCACCCAAAATATTTGTTGAATATGTTGAAAATATGAGTATTATTGTTAGAAATAATTGTTGAGTGTTATGTTATTATGCATTAGACTATTTTTTGAGCTCGATTATGATATGTTTCTTATTACCTATTCTCTATGATTGCATTCATCATTGTGTTAGAATAATATAAATAGGTATCGTCTTAAAAAAAACATTATGTTAGACTAACTATGAGTTCCTAATTATATTTATATTAGAAAGAAATCTAATTTGTTGTACATGGAAGAGACTATGTCAATTGAGTGATATACAACTGTCATAACTCGAATTAGTTCATGTTATTAATTATAAAAATATGATGTACCCAATTTAAAGAATGATTTAATCATTATATATGCATCATGCTTTATTTTTTTATAATGTATGCAATGTCACATGAACCAAGTGGAGAATGTAAATTTTATGTTTCATGTGATGGATATGTAACTTTGTTAAGAGAAAAAATAATAAATAAATAAATAATAAAAAGTTAATTGGTAAATGAATAAAATAAAAGTTATTTCTAATGACAACTAGTATTTAATGGAAATAATAGTTTTAAAAAGGTTAACATCCACTAACTTTGAATAAGGTCTCCCCGTTACCTAAATATATGTTGTTTATATTTTTCATCCATCAAGAAAAAATAAACATGAAACAGGAAGTTAAAGAAAACAAAATTTTATTCTTATCTTATTTAAATAATTCATAAAAAAAGTACTCAAAAATACTAAAAAAAAGTTTATAATACGGAGAAAGATGTTATTTTTTTATATATAAAATACGTGAAAATTATTATTTTAAGATTCAATTTGAACTTTTTATTTTAGATAATTATTAAAAAAATCGTTATAACTTACATGGCCCGATAGGTTTTGATCATATCCTAGGACTACATCCAATGATCTTACATAAACAAAGCAGCTGAATGCATGCAACAGCTGAATCTTTTATGTAAAACCATGAATCATTTTGTTTTAATGCATGTGTCATTGAAAGCATGCAACAACCATTCTCACGTTTGTTGATTTATCAAAGCAATGAATAGCATAACTCGCTAAGATTCATTTCACAAAAGTGTGGACTCATTAAGACTTGTTTTTCAGACAATATGTATAAGATTTACGGGAACTTTTTGTGTTTCAGATTTCTGATAAAAGATTTATTTGAGGAAGCATGCAACTTGATTTAGGGAAAGTTTTAAAATGGGATCAACCCATTTAACAGTTCCAATTAAACGCGATCGGTATCTGGCCAAACTATATTACAATATATATATCGATGTAAAGGAATGCTGGGCACTTGATATTGAAACCTGTCACTGTCCTCGTTTCTTTTGATTAAAAGTTTACTCTTAACACATGAATTATATATTGCCAATGCTTGAACTCTAAAGGCAGTTTAAGTCTATTGGTAGTTCATGATACTTGTCACCATTGCCAAGTTGGTGATGAAAGAAAATTATTAGTTTTTTTAAACTTAAAAAAAAAAAAAGTAATATTTTTTTGAAGTGCTTGTAACAAGTTTATAATGGTGGAGCAGTTTCTGATCGCATTTCCACCTCAAAATGCTAATGTCATTTCTAACATAGTCAATAGGCTCAACAGGAGAGATCACACAAGACAAATGGTAAAATAAGCAACTAACTAAGCAAACTGAGCAAGTATCTATACATGCTTAACCACCTTAATTCACCACAACTACCAGCATGCCAGTTTGCACTTGAACAAGAAGATAAAGCACAGACAATATAAAAACCAAGAACATAAAGCAAAGACAATATGAAAACCAATTTAGGGACATAATATTCACTACGCAGTTGGATGTGGTACAATCTCAGATATGCCAGGATATGAAGGTTGTTCTTCTTTCTGCACTACTCCATGTTGCAGTTGTTGTGGCTGTTCTCCTTGCCAGTTCCAAACAATGTCCTTAAGTGCAGGCCTTACCTCCTGTTTCAAAAGATTTTGGTACTCCAATGTGTCTCCACTAGACTTTTTTAACTCCACAAGATGGAAAACTGGGGTGATCTCAAATATCTCAGCATCAATACCCAAAGGCCCTTTCCTGCCTTCCTTGGAACCTTCCAACTTGAACAAACCTCCATCTTTCTTCTTCACTTTCAACCGAAGGCGCTTGCAAATTTCTTCCAATTTGGAGATGATAATAGAGGCCGGCTTGTCAGATGTAAATCGTGCTTCTTTTTTTCTATCAGTTTCCTCAAACAAACCAGACAAGTCAAAACCAGAGGAATAGGAGATGATGTCAAAAGCATTTAGATTACAAGGTTTTGAGTCTTTTGCTGGCTCGATAGAATCTCCATTCTCACAAGCACCAAATACTCCATCTGCATCCAGAGGAGCCAGTTCTTCACATTTGTTCTGAGTAATGGTGGGCTTCTGTAACCCCTTTCTGAACCAAGAACTTTCCATAAGTTTGGCCATTGATATCCTGGTCTTTGGGTTTGGATCCAAGATTCTCGACAACAATCTGCGCACATCTGGTGCAAACCAGTTAGGAAATTTGAATTCTCCCTTGCCAATCTTCCTGTACATCTCCATCAGATTTGAATCTCTAAATGGAAGAAAACCAGCTAATAGAACATACAAGATCACCCCACATGACCATATGTCAGCTTTGGCTCCATCATAGCCCCTTCTGTTTATCACTTCTGGAGCAACATAAGCAGGGGTACCACAAGTGGTATGGAGTAATCCATCTTGGTGCTTAGTTTCGGCAAGTGCACTTAACCCGAAATCTGAGACCTTCAAATTCCCATCTTCATCCAGTAGAAGATTTTCTGGTTTCAGATCACGATGGCACACACCTCTGCTATGGCAGTAGTCAACAGCACTGATCAACTGCTGAAAATATCTCCTAGCATCATCCTGCTTGAGCTTTCCTTTGGATACCTTGTCAAAGAGCTCACCGCCTTTTATATACTCCATGACAAAGTAAATTTTGGTTTTGCTAGCCATTACCTCATAAAGCTCAACGACATGTGGATGCCTGATTAGTCTCATCACTGAAATTTCACGCTTAATCTGATCAATCATCCCAACTTTCAAAATCTTCTCTTTATCAACAATTTTTATGGCCACGCTAATGCCAGTTATGAGGTTCCTAGCATGGTAAACCTTTGCAAAGGTTCCTTGGCCTAATAATCTCCCTAGCTCATATCGTTGCATAAGCACAGCTCCTTTTTGCTCCATTTCTAGAAATACTTTTAATGCAAACCAATGCTAATATCACTAGCACTACGTACAGGCAATCACTTCAAGAAATTCAAAGCTCAACCATCTTCACAATTATCGTGTTTCGAAATTGTACAGTGGCTGAGATTTCTAGGCACCTCAGTTGCTTGAGCGCAAAATATATACAAGCACTGGACTAAACATCCAATGTCATCAAGATTGAATGAGAGTAGCTCAGCTGGAGGCAAAAATTCCTTAGCCTCAGGGAAAGAGTTTCTAACCATCAAGCACATCTTTCAGCATTCCCTAATTTTGGTGATGACACCAGAGAAGACTGAAGAATATGGTCCTATTAGAAAGTTTGAAGAATAATTAAGGAATGAAGCAGCACCTAGTTTAGCCTTCCAATCACACACAGCAGCACCTGAAAGATAGATATAACATAATAATTTAATAAGCAAACTCAGAGAATCTAATCTACCAAATGAATTTCGTGAAACCTTCTACAACCATAACCAGCATAACAATTTTTATAACTTCTTTCCGAGTTTCAGTCATATTTAAACAGGACTGATTTCAAAGACAGTATTTATTACATCAATTTCAGTTCTCTCATGTATTCTAATTGTTTCTAAGTTTTCAAAAATAAATTATTCGTGACAAAGAAAAAATAAACAAGTTTAAACAACTGACAGAAATATAAGATGTTAAAATCAAAGAACAATTCCAAACCAGATATGACATAACATTATGTAAAAGAAATACAATTTAATCAAATAATCAATGAGCTGACGACAGAAGGAGGCAGTCACTACACAACACCCCAACAATGAACTTGAGATTCATAAAAAGGACTATGTAAAACCTGCATTCTGTTTTTAATTTCACACACAAATCAAGTTATTCACACTCATCTAAAATTAAAACACTTCATTATCAATTGAAAAGGAAGAGGAAATTGAACAAGGTTTCAAAAAGGCAAGTATAACTATAATTGGGTTGGCACCGTTTCCACACGCATGTGATTCCACTTTCCATTACAAATCGTTACCTAACCTTGGCAATCTACCTACCAATTTTCATGCTTGTGTCACATGTCACTAAATCCTGGTCTCTACAAATTGCCAACCAAATCTTCTAGGAGAAAAGAATTAGAAAAAATAAGAATAACTTGCCAACTAGCCTTTAAGAGAAAAAAAAAGGCAAAATAAACAGAGTTTATCTCATCAAAACAGCAATCATCCTTCTATACCAGAAATTCGGTTTTTTTTTTTCTTTTTTTTTTTTGTAACATATATATTTACAATTTAATTAAAAAAATTTATAAAACAAATATGCACTTAGATCTTCTCAGGTTACACAAAAAATAAGTTTTTTTTTTCTTAAATCAGTACACCAAAAAAATTTAATAAACAATGCACGCGATATCATTATCTTTGTGTCTTTCTTTCGCATGAAATATATGGCGTGTTGTGCAAATCAGTTGAGAAATAAGAAATCAAGTTTTATATGTAGAAGCTATAACCAGCAACTTCTAAAAACCACGTTCAAAACGTAGGACTCACATCCTTAATGTGAAATAAAACACGCCAATACTCGGCAGCATAAAATTCAAATCCTCAACAACCATGATGAACAATTTTTCTCGTGAAGCAAACAGCCAGAAACGATTCAGAAAATGAGACAAATCAATTTAAACCCAGGAAAAGAAAATCGAAAAGTTTCAAACTTTAAGACGAAAATGAATAAGATTACAAATTTTCAACAACCGGAATGAAGATCTACAGGTAACCCAAAAAAATGAAGAAGATATCGAAAAGGGTGATCTCAATTTACCTGCAAGATGATTTGAGATGAATTTTCTCTCTCTTCCTGTGTTTTTTTTGGTCGCAAGGAGAGTATAGATGATGATGGAGGCGTTATAACAAAGGAGGAGAAAGAAAAGACAGCGGAGTTGCTGTCAAGCGAACAAATAAGAGAATATGAGAATATTCTAACACTTTCTAGTTCTTTAAGTTGTTTCTTAACAAAATTAATATAGACATGTAAAACAAAATGTTTCTGCAACCATCTGGTTAATACTTTTAAAAAGCAATTTATGTATTAAATATAATAATTAATAAGTAGGTTTTATTCATTTATTACATTAAGACTATGATAAATTATGTAGTTAGAATTTCAACAAAAATATATGTGATATTCTTTGTTTGTAATATGTAAAAAATAAAATTGTTAATATTATAAATTAGGAAATGTAAATGTTAATCGAAGGATATGCGTGTTGTGTTTTTATATAAATTTTTAAACAAATTATGCAATGTTGTAAGAAGGAGAGGTATGGTTCTTAAATTTATGAGAATAAAATTTACGTATAAAATTATACATAACAATTATGTTTCAAAATTCTGTATGTAGTTTATAAAATTGAATAAGGGAAAATCTATCAATTTTAATAAATATTGAAAGCAATAAATTTTTCATTACGTAAAATTTCAACGTTCATTTCTTTGTTAATCCACATACATTGTGATTGAACCTGAATTTCTCATAAATGATATCATCTGAATTTGATTTTCTTTTACTAGTTGATTCTTTTCCTTCTTCCTTATAATTTCAATTAAAATTTGAACAAATATCCCTATATTAAAAAAATAATAATGCATTGATATACTTAATTAGATACATTGAATTTATTTAAAATTGTTTAACCACTAAAAAGAGTATATTTCTTATAAATGGAAAGGCATATAAGAATTTCCAAAATCGAAAATCATGGGACCAACTTTTTAAAGTATAGAGTTCATTGTCAAAATAGATTTTACCTTTTTTGACTAAATATTTTTTAATTACATAATTAAATAATTAATTTTCTCTCACAATATTTTAAAGATCAACTATTTAGCAACGTTCTTGAACCAAGATAGTTATTTATTTATTATTGTTATTATTATTACCAAATTTTTTAAAAGGATATATTTTTGACTTTTTTAATTTTTTAAATATATTTTTTACAATGTATCATCATTCCAAATTAAACATATCAATAAAATGTGTGAAAACTGAAAATTTAAATAGAAAAAACATGTTAAAAAAATTAAAGTAAAGTAAAATAATAATAATAAATATTTTAAATATTATTTATCATTCAAATTTTTTTAGAGAACCTGTTATTAAACCTTAACAACTCCACTTGTTACAATGTGAAAAAATGGAGGAAGAAAAAACGAAGTTAATTAGGTTTTTGATTGGCGAGAATTAGGAACACTGAATCGGGATGTACAAACCACTTGGCGCCCAAAAACACCATTCGACAGTAATGACGTAGGAGTGGCAAGTTAGCCCAATCTTGTTCCGCCAGGTGGCCACAGAATATTCGCATCTTTACCAGCAGATGCAGGTAAAGCCTTCCCGTGTTGCGATTCATTTAAGCAATGATTGGACACGTGTTAAAATTTAATTGGTGGTTTACTATTTAGACATCGACCGAGTGGGGACCACTTTCCAGAATCCACTGTTGACGCGTTTCTGACTGCAACGCCTAATGAGCGTCCAAATACTGTGCATGTGTCTTTTAATCATTGACAAATTTATTTATTTAAAATTTGAAGATGTAGCCAAATCAAATTATTATTTAGTTAATTAAAAATTATTATTTTTAATTATCTTATTATTAATTTTTTTATTTTTTTATAATATTTTATATTAATTATTATTTTATAGATTATTATTTATCCATTTAATATTTTTACTTATAATTCAATATTAAATATATTATTTTTTATCTAAAAATTGCTTAAATAGACCTATATATTAAAAAGAAATTTTAAATAGAGATTCAGAGATAAATAGATCGACTTTATCTTCTTAAATGGTCTATTACTTTTAGATCGATAATAACAAAAAATAATGTTAATTATTATTTGTTTATTATCACTGTTTTCTTTTAATCGTTTTGTCCCTTCCCAATGATGGAAAGAAGAATTTAGCAAAAAATTTATATGTTATTTACTTAAGTTTGCAAATAAAAATAACACAGTTTATTTTTTGTTAAGTTGGTTTTATTTTTAAAATTAAAATTTGTCTGACATAAAATTTTCAATAATATATTTATTTTATAAGTTTTATTTTAATTTTTATATATATCAGAAATATAATATTTTTCCAAAATTTTATGAATAATAAGAAAATAGAGACAGTAATACTTGTGAGTGAGGTATATTTTATTTTTATATTATAATAATATTATTGTGCAAAAATTTTGTAGTGAAGTTTCCTGTGCACGCCAATTCTTTATATACGTGCGAAGGGAGAAGGAATGACAAGAACAATTGATTCTCTCTCTCATCCTGGATGCGAGGTTGAAGAAAGGGTCAAGGGGATTTTTGAAAAAGATCAAGGGTAAAATAGTAATTTTATATCCTAAGGATATAAATAGAATTTTTGAAAATGTCCAAGGGGAAAATAGTCATTTTCGGGACATGGAAGAAATTTTCGAAAATATCCAAGGGTAAAATAGTCATTTTCGGGACATGGAAGGAATTTTTGAAAATGTCCAAGGGTAAAATAGTCATTTTTGAGACATGGAAGGAATTTTTGAAAATGTCCAAGGGTAAAATAGTCATTTTCGGGACATGGAAGGAATTTTCGAAAATGTCCAAGAGTAAAATAGTCATTTTCGAGATATGGAAGGAATTTTCGAAAATGTCCAAGGGTAAAATAGTCATTTAGGGACATACATGGAATTTTAAGAAAAGATTAAGGGCAAAATAGTAATTTAATAATTTCGGGATGAAAAAGGAATAATAAAAAATATTTAAAGGTATAAGTGGAATTTTAGAAATAAAGTAAAGGTATGTTAGAAAAAATAATTAAATTATAGAATGAAATTAGAAATTTTAAAGAATCAGTAGTGTGTTGTGACGTGTGTGGGTCAGACTGAGCCCCGAGGGCTGATACCCAGAATCAGTCATGAGATGTTATGTATTGGCTAGACTGAGCCGGATGGTTGGTACCCAGAATTAGTCAAGTACTATTATTTATTGACCCAAATGAGCCGTGAGGACAGGTAGTCCAGAATCCGGCAGATGTAAATGATTGTTGTTGTGTTTGAATGGTACCCGGGGTGGTACAAAGTATATTAGTGTAATAACTATGTCGGAGGATTCAGATGAGGTTCTAGACTTCACTGATTGGTCGGGTCAGGTGGACTACGAGATCAGGTGGTGAGAAGTCGATGATGGATGATTGGTGGCGTGCTCGAAGGGATACTCCAGAATGAGTGATGAAGGGCGCCAGTAATCCCACTATGTGTGGAGGGTGGTCAGAATGGTACTATGAGTGTCGACCACAATGTGCCCACAGATGATAGCCTTTGAGTTCGGGCATAATTAGGGTAAACTTCCCGAAGGCGTCTTAGTGTATTAATGATTTGTAATTGATGATAATATGTAATTATTACTTCTATATCTGTTTTATTATATTGAATGATTTAATATTTACCCCTATTTTTTCATTTGGATGAGATTGCGATGATCACTTTTATGTGGGAGCAGATCGGGAGTTGAGAGGTAGAGATGCGACTACTTGGACAACGAGAGATAGTTCAGTGGGCTAGTTTTGTGGGAGCTACTTTTGCCTGTATCTATATAAATAAATTATGTTACTATGTTTTTAGGTTCCGTCAATGAATTATGTTACTATGTTTTGAGGTTTCGATCAATGAATAATAATTTTAATCTATATTACAATTACGAGTAATATAATGTAATATAGATGTTGTTATTTACTTGTTTACTATTTTGCAAATATATCATTATAGTAGCGATTTATAGGTCGTTACTAATAGCTAGGACAAAAACAAATACTATAAAAAAAATAAGAAAAAAAGATAAATAAATTTTAATGAAATATTTTTTTAAGAGATAATCACGATAGAATTTAATAATATTTTTTTAATCAATAGTTTTTAAATTATACTAAATATTAAATCTATAAAGACATGAATTTAAATTTAAATATTCAACGGTAATTGAATAATTAATATTTTTATAATATAATAAATATATAATAATTTTATTAATAATAATATTTTTTAAAATAAAGATTATTATTATTGTTCTTATAAATTATAATAAAAATTATAAATATAGATAAATAATTCTTAAAATAAGATAAATTTATAATATAATAATTATTATTTAAAATTAACATAATTAATATGAAATAAAAAATATATATTATATTTTATAAAAAATTATATTAAAAAAATTGATCATAATTTATTTTTTTACTAAAATTGATTTGAAAATAAATTCATTGTATTTAATTATTGTATAATTGATTTCAGTTACATATTGAACTATTGAAAGTCAAACTAACAAATAGTTTCTTCCACTTTTTTTCAATTTTTGGATGTGATTTTACGAGGGTAAAATTGATTTTGGTAATTATCTATACACGATCTATATTTTCTACTCCTAATCTATCAAAGAATTAAATAAAATTATAACATAATCGTTAAATTTCAAAGTAAATAATATCTTTAATATAATAATTAATTTTATTTAAATTATCTTTAAAAATTAGAGGTCAGAACAAGTAAATAATTATAAATAATCAAATTTATTCTCTAAATACTAGTGTTTCGAACTTAATATTAAGTTAAAAATATACTTTATTCTTTAAAATAGTAATTTCATCATTTCAATACTAGTAAAGAAAAAATATGAGAAAAATAATATCTTATAAATTTTATATTTTTTTCTAGTGGAATTTCGATCGATTTCGATTCTAAACGAGTGTTATAGTCCTAATCGAAATCCTCCCACGTAAGTTCTTTTTACTTAGGCTAGCGATCGACTTTCAATCGAAAACGTGTATGAGAATCGAAAGTTACGACTTATAAAAATGCTATTTTTTAGTATTTTATATTTAGACTACCGAAAGCGAGTAAAGTATCGAATCGAGAAACGAACATTAAATTGCGAGGAAGTATAAAGTGCGAAAACCCCAAACTTGCATTAATTGTAAATGACAAGAAATCGAAATTGCAGGAAAAGTAAATGACAGGGAAACTTAAATGCAGAAACTTAAACTTTCATTGAATTGAAATGACTAAGAATCGAGAATACAGAAACATAAAATTGTTGAAACATAAATTACCAAGGAAAATACAGAAAGCGGTAAATGTACTCAGTGAGCAAGGAAATCCAGATTGCCAGAAGCTTCATGGTGTTCGTCGCTTCTCCGGTAGACTTTTCACTGCTGATTCTGTTCTCGGCCAATTTCTGCTCCCCGTTCCTTCCTCCTTTGCACTATTTATAGGGCATCATTCAAACCTTCCAGGAGCAGTTAACAAAAACTGCTACCACGTTCTTCGTGCGCGTTGCAGTTTCTTCTTCTGTGGTGTCAAAACTGCACCCACGTTCCCATGATCTTCAACTTCTGCCACGATTTAGAAATTGTTTCCTATATGCGTGTTTAACTCCTCTTTATGATCTGGCCACAATTTCGATTTTACGCGGGTTAACCTTTCTTTCGATTTAGACTTCGATTTTATCGAGAACTTCGGATTTACTTTTGATTCCTTTTTACCTTAGCATCATATACTTCTAATTTCTTGGTTTGTTCCATAATAAACTTTTGACTATTATTTCTCCGATTCCAACTCTAACTTTCGATTTTATGTGCCATGCCATTCTAATTGGACATCGAATGATTCCTCATCTACCTTTTCATTTTACCGATCAGTCACATGTTTCTCGATTTTTCTTTCCTTCATTTTTTCGATCGCTTTTCTCGATTTCCTACTAACAAAATGCCCCCTTGGAAGAATATCAATAGTTTCTGTTTATATTCTTTCAACGTGATTCCCGCCTTTGCTTGTTAGAGGCCCACAAAACTTAGGGTTTAGGGTTTTTGGGGTTCTAGGGTTTACAGGGTTTTCAATTTTCCTTTTGCTTTATGTCGCCATCGCGTCAGTCTGCTGTCTTACTGTACACGTTACATTAATTACCTTTCACCTCCGCCGTTTCCAGCTCCCTAGGCTATTTTCCCTTTAAACTTTCTATTGGTTTTTTACTCTGGTTTTTTTACGCGAACTTTTACCTCTTTGCAACTTCGTCTTCCTTGAGCTCTTGTCTTCATCTCTGCGCCTTCATCTCTTCCGTTGCTTTTCTTCACCCTACCCATTACTGAAATGGCCACTTCATCCAAATCTTCTGACTTTTCTGTTCCGCCTCTTCCCTCGTTGACGGCTCCCCTTCTGGAGATCAATAACCAGAAGTTTGCTCCAATTCCTCTGATGGAGGAGGCTTCTCAGAAAATCGCTGAGACGCAGGTACTCATTCCTTACACTGCTGATAGTGTTAATTTTGGTTTTGGGAGTCCTGTCCGTTCTAGTAGTGGGACTTTTTCTTCCTTCAC